CGCGCGTGGTGGCGTGGCCCGACAAGATCAACAAAAACCAATACAAACTCATAAGTCAATAGAGCCAACAATATGTGTAGAGTTCTGTGTGTGATTTGTTTCCACTGGGGAGCTTAGTGTGTGCATATTTGATCAAGTCAAGAAGTAGGGACTCTCACTTGGGATTGGAGAGTAGATTTTAAGTAAAAATTTATAAAAAATTTCCAGAGGATGGGAATCAATATGTAAGTGCTGACCCCAAGGTGGGAATTGAAATTTAGATATCAATCCCAAAAAGAAAGGGAGGGTCGGAATTTGGGTACCAAACTCCAAAGATAGGAATCAGAGTTTATTGACTGGTTCTGAAACGGTGAATTTAAATTTAGTAGTCAATTTCAAGAAAGGAGAGTCGGAATGTAGGTACTGATCTCGAAAAATGAGAATCAGAATTTACGTACTAATTCAAAAATGTAAATTGAAATATAGGTACAATTCTCAAAAGAGAGTGTCAGAATTTAGGTACAGACCTCGAATATAGTGAACCAGAATTTAGGTACTTATTCGAAGACGTGAGAATTGAAACATAGGGACAATTCTCAAAAGAGAGTGTCAGAATTTAGGTACTGACCTTGAATATAGTGAATCAGAAACATAAGACTGTAAGACTGATTCAAATATGCCTGATTCAAATATGCGAGAATTGAAATATAAGGACAATTCTCAGAAGAGAGTGTCAGAATTTAGGTACCGACCTCGAATATGGTGAATCATAAACATAGGACTGATTGGAATATGTGTGAATTAAAATATAAGGACCATTCTCAAAAGAGAGTGTCAGAATTTAGGTACCAACCTCGAATATGAATATGATGAATCAAATGATGAATCAAAAATATAGGACTGATTCAAATATGTGAGAATTGAAATATAGGGACAATTCTCATAAGAGAGTGTCAAAATTTAGGTACTGACCTCGACTATGGTGAATCAAAATTTAAGTATTGATTCAAAAATGTGAGTATTAAAATATAGGGACAATTCTCAGAAGAGAGTGTCAGAATTTAGGAACCAACCTTGAATATGGTGAATCAATATTTAGGCACTGATTTGAAAAATCACTCGAAGATGTGAGAATTGAAATATAGGGATAATTCTTAGAAGAGAGTGTCAGAAGTTAGGTACCGACCTCAAATATGATGAATCAAAAACATAGGACTGATTCAAATACGTGAGAATTGAAATATAGGGACAATTCTCAGAAGACTCAGAAGAGAGTGTA